TGTGTCAATAGCTATTACCTCATAGAATCTCAAATGTTCTCTTTCCAGTGCTCACACAAACCATCGTTTTGTACATTGCATTTCACCAGCATTAAATAATTTTTTTAAATTTTTTTTTTATGGAAAGGTTTTTTCATTATAGGGCGTGTGCGCTCGCCAGACAGACAGAGAGAGACATAGAGACAGAAAGCGAGAAACGGGATCTTGGGCACACACGCACACGCGCCCGGCGTGAGTTTTAAGCCACCGGGTCCGGGACGCGAACTGCAGTCGACTACGTGGGAGTCCAGCGACATAGCCATTACACTAATTGCTGGTTCCCACCAGCATTAAATAATTTTTAATGGCATTTAAGAATTTCATTCATGGGGCCAGAAGATGGTGAAGCAGTTATGCCACTGGACTCCCATATAGCCAGCCACAGTTTGAGTCTTGGACCTGGTGGCTTGAAAATCACGTCAGGCATGCATGTGTGTTAGCCAAGATCCAGGGAGGAGACTGTAGGAAAAGGGATTTCTGTATGGCCATCCCCCCTGGGGGCTAATTTCTGACTTTCTATCTCTTTATCTCACTATATTGCTCTTCCACCAGCAAATGTGCCCTATGGCAAAAACCTAAAGTAAAGAAGGGGGACTGTCTTCCCAACCCCACCGGTCTGCTTTTGAATCCATCCTGTAGACCACACTTACCCTTTTCTTCAGAAAACCCCTTTCCAGTGAATTTCATTCACTAGCTTGTAAATATCTCTAGCCTCACTTAGCAGACAACATTGCAATCTCTCAAGTTTTTTTTATATAATAATGTTCAGTTTTTCCAGTATTCTTTGAATCTTGGCTTTCTTATTTTGTTAAGAAGAGTAAAAGCATCATGATCAATTTGTTGATACTGATGATGTTAAAGTCTCAAAACTTAATTAAGATCAATGAAGTGCAACTTTTTGAATGTGGAATGTATTCTACCTTTATCTGGTTATTGTTGACTTTGAGTGAGTTTTTACCGTGAAATCCTAGTAAAATATGGGATTTTCAGACATAGCATTTAAACCTACGTGCAAATTATGAAACATAACCATGTATTATAAAGTAACTTTTGCTTCCTGAAAAAATAATCATTTTTATAACACATAAGTCCATTGCTTGACTTGAAATTGATTGTCGACAGTTTCAGGAATATGTTATGTATGAAAGCAGAATAAATGGCAATTGGCATGTAATAGGAAACCAGAAAACTTGGAAACAGAGTCACCGGAGACACAGAACAATATATACCATCCTTATGGAGCTCCTTAAGTAAATGACACTTACATTTCTAACCCATGCATTCCTCTGAGATCTCATTGCATGTAACCAGCTGCTTACTGAAATTCAGCAAATCTTCCCCAAAGTACCATATACATAATGAATCCAAAGTTGATTACTTTTACTTACAAATTTTCTCTCCTATATTCACTATCAGTTGACTTCTCCTATATTCACCCTCAGTTGTACCACTTGTCACTCACTAAAAGTCAGAAATCTGGAAAGATTTTAATCTCTTCTTCGTTTTTTAAAAGTTCTTTCTTTTTTTGAGAATGAGAAAGAGAGAGAGAGAGATAAGTGCCTTAAGCAGGGTCTCACACAGTGATGCTATTCCCTACCCTCCAAGCTCCTCAGGCCACCCAGAATCCTGGACATGTGTGCCCGGCATGTATAGATCGACCTGGGAACTGAATCTGTGATCTTCCATTTGGATCTGGCATTGCTTGAGCAGTATGTTACCAGTGCACAATCTAGCTGGTTCACTTCCCTAGCTTTCATAGTCCTCACCAAGCAGCCGTGTGTTTACATTGATTTCACCCAGTAAACAACTACCTTTAATTGAATAGATTACTCTCAGAGCCATAGTTCTAAAATCCTTTCGTAGGTGAACTACTTTGGTCCTTCCAGCAGCTCTGTTGGAAATCAGATGAAATGAAATGCAGGTGAAAGAGATGGAATTACTTTTTCATGTCCACATACTAGTAAGTGAAAATTGAGTATTAAGTCTGTTCTCCTAATGGTGTTACCACATAGTATCATGCTGCATCATCTTTTCCCCCATTTATAAGCTACTTCCTTGGAGCATTTTTGCCACATTTTTTCCCAGAGTCATGCAGCAATCTAGTCTCACCTCCCCCCACTCTACACTCTAGCTCTACATCTGTTCTGGTTGTTTTGTATTTGTTTTAGTTTGTGATAAAACTTGCCAAGGCCAGATGGTGGTACAGCTGTAATGCACTGGATTCATATAGGAAAGGTCCTGATTTCCCATCCCCAGATCTCCCTGAGCACATCCACCATCCAGGCCGACTGCGACTTGGCGTGGAGCACAGGGTAACGACACCGTTTGGAGTTCCTTTCTCTCTCTCTCTCTCTCTCTCTCTCTCTCTCTTGTGGAAGAAATCAAAAGGTAAACTTTTAAAAAAATCAAAATATTAAAAAATACATAAAACTTACCATCTTAGCCATTTCTTAAAAAGCTAATTTATTTTTTTCTTCCCTGAGATACAGAGAGGGAGAGAGAGAGAGACAGGCACCTCCAATAGTCTTCAACCCAAGATCCACTCCTAGACTCGCAGTCCACATCACAGGTACCTGGGCATGTACCTGGTGTGCATAGGAAGGCCTTGGGATGTGACTCCAGGACTTTCCTACGTGAACCCAGCAACACCACCAACTGGCCTCCTGCCCAAGTGTTTTAGAAAATACACAAATATATTTGTAATACATCTCTTTTCACTGTTCCCAACTGTTTGTTAGATAAAAAATGAAGTCCTTAGCATGACATATAAGAGACATTGAAAACATTTATTATATTAATTTATTCATTTGCACAATCCTGACATCATCAGCATTTTTTCTGTGTGTCCTTACCCTACACTTTGATTTTGGAAATACTAAATTATTAGCAATACTCAGCACACCTGTGTTATTTCAGGTCTCCAAATTTAGGTACATTGTCTTCCTCATCATACTTAATTCACAAGAAAGCTCATATTTGCTGTTTAAAATTTTCCTTATGTAACAACCACCCTTCCTGTTTGTTACATAATGCCTATTTCCTCCAGGCTATCTCCATATGTTGGCCATATTTCTATTTCCTGCAAAAATTATACAGAAATATTCTTTTTCTTGTCTGACTTTTCTGCGTTACTGTAAAAATCTTTAAAGCCAGGGATTTCATCTTCTTCTTTATGGTAACCTCCCTACCTAAAAGAATTTCCTAAGTGATAGGAAATCTATAATTAGTAAAGATAAATAATACAATTCAAAAATATGGGAAGTGAACAAAGGCTATTTGACTTTTAAACTATTATGTACATAGACATATCAATGTGTCGGTATAGATTTTTTTTTTTGAGAGATTTTCACTGTAGGGCGCGTGCGCTCGCCAGACAGACAGAGAGAGACATAGAGACAGAAAGCGAGAAATCACCCCCCAGGGGGGATGGTCACGCCGCAATTCCTTCTCCTCCATTCTCCTCTCGGGATCTTGGGCACGCACGCACACGCGCCCGGCGTGAGTTTTTTAAGCCACCGGGTCCGGGACACGAACCGCGGTCGACTACGTGGGAATCCAGCGACATAACCATTACGCTAACTGCTGGTTCCCTTGGTATAGATTTTTTATGCTAATAGCTATTGATTATACTTTACTCAATCATTTAAACATTATATCACCCTTAAGCAATTTAAATAAGCATAACATGGGTAACTCATCATGATCATTTCTCAATTCATACCTTACAAGTAAAGGTGATAAACACTTAAAGGCTTTTTTGCTTTTTTTTTGGCTTAATCTTTATTAAGTAATAATCAGAGACTATCCATATATATGTAAGTTCTTAAACACACACACACACACACACACACACACACACACACACACACATGTCTATATTAATAATGGGCTTGCTGGATCAACCCCACAACCTAGTGGTTAAGGAAGATGGGTCCCACATGGCTGACTGCTGCTCAAATTCTAGCCCTAGGGGACCGGCAATTAGTGTTAATGGCTATGTCACTGAACTAACATGTAGTCCACCGCGGTTCAAGTCCTGGACCCTGTGACTTAAACTCACGCTGGGCACGTGTGCATGCCCAAGATCCCAAGGGGAGACTGGAGGAGAAGGGACTGCAGCATATGGTCATTCCTTCTGGGGTGTGATTTCGCGCTTTCTGTCTCTCTCTCTCAGTCTTTCTGGCGCGCACATGTGCCCTATAGCAAAAACCTCTCCAAAACACAAAAAAATGCTAGCCCTGGTAGTTTGAAAAACATACCAGGCACTAGAGTATGCATGTCCAAATCCTGACAAAATGAAGAAATGAGGAAGAGATTGTGGTTGACCACTCATCATTAATGAATTTTCTGTCTCTCTCTCTCTCTGAAGAGCATATACACTCTTTGGAAATTAATAATGATGATGATGGGCTTGTAGAAAATTTAATCTCTTTCAGTTTCCTCCACATTAAACTGTGTAGGAAATTTCTATTTTCAAAGTAATATATAGATGAAATGAGAACCAGTATTATTTTTCAACTGAAGTATTTGCCACTGCACTTTATTCATAAAAGACTTCATTGATATCTTCAAAGTCACTTTTCTATTTTAACAAAATTAGAAGACATCTGGGGCTTGCAGGTGGCATGGGGGTTAAGGGCACTGGACTCCCACATAGCTGACTGTGGTTCAAGTCCCAGATATGGAGGCTCACTCTTTCTCTCTTGTTCGGTCCCTCTCTGGTCAAAGTAAAATAAATAAATTTTTAAAAATGAATGAAGTTAAATGAAATAATTCCTTTTAAAAAGAGAAGACAGCACACTCTATTTCTGAAATAAAATATCATTTATCATTCTTCCCGTGATATCCTTCCTGTGATTGTGTGACACAACAGAAAAGTAATACACAAGGGTATTACATGACAGTTGGCACAAAGTTCTGTTTGTTCACATTTAAATAATAGAATAAAAATTGTTACATACCTAAAGCTTGACTATAGTAGGAATCCCATGACTTCCAAAGAGTTTCAAACATGTGATCTTGTAGATGATAGGAGATAAAATTTCTTACTCTGTCAGCAAAAGACATCTGGTCGGTGAGCTCTGATAAAATAGCAGGAACATAGGAAGGAGGAAACGGAACCTTCCCACAGTGCTTTTCCACTGTTGAGGCTGGAGAAAACCTTAAGGAGTACATGAATGGAATTCCCAGTTTTAAAGCTATTATGTCACCACAAGGAAATACTGGATCTGATACCAGGACCTCAAACTCATCTTTCTTCAGTTTTTCCAGCAGCTTTTGGTTTTTAAGGACACCATCACAAATCTCTCTGCACACCATGTGGAAGTCCTCGATGACTTTGGCCATCTCCTGATAGAATCTCCAAATGGTTGAAGGAGATGGTCTGTTTTCCAGCCATGTCAGAACAAAGTCTTTGATAACGCCTTCTATTCTTTCCTTGCCAAAGGGTACATTATATATTTCAAATGTCAGAGATGGGTTAACGGTTGGCGCGATGAATAGTGCACCCGAGTAAAGTAGAACCGTCACATTATGGTCTTTTTTAATCAGCTCATCGATAATGATCTTAACGTTTAGCCAGTGACTACCTTCCATTGGCCAAATAAGCACTTTTCCACCAAGAGCATTTCCGAGAAGACTTAGCTGAAGAGACAACAGTAGAATGTTGTTTAACATAATGTGGCTTGATGCAGACGGCTAGGTAAGATGGGAAACGAATGATCTCTGTTTTTCAAACAAAAAGGAATAACAAAAATATTTCTTAGTGTTGATGGAAGGCATTGATTCCCTTAAGATCACTATATCAGATGTTAGTCATACTAGCTTTACATTTTAGGGTCATTACAGGTTTAGTGTGATATGTCTTATCTCTTAACCTATTGCATGTGGCTATAGTTCATGCTCTCTGATCCTTCTCTTGAACCTGGTCCTTCAACTTTTTCTTTGTATCTTACAATTATTTAATTTTTAGCATTAAAGTTATTGAAGCCATTGTCTGTCTCAACTCTACACTCAGGTCTCAGTACTGAAACCTCAGAAAGGATTGGAACTCATTCTGAAATGTAGGCATACCAATGCTACACATTTTTCAATATTTCATACATTTCTATAATTCCACTAATGACAAACATTATTATAATTATTAATATATAAGATTATTATAAAGAATATTTACATGAAGTAAAATGCATATAGCAAACATAATGCTTATTACTATCATAATAATATGTTTAGGAAAATAGTTTATGTTAATAAGTCACTCAGAAAAATATGTAAATCAATTTAGTGTTCATATAATATCTGCAAAAGACCATGGGTAATATTGCTAGTGAATATCTGTTACTTGAAGAGAATTGTTAATTCAGGCAAACCTCCACCAAAAGTGCTCCTCTAAAGCTAGCTACTATGTGTGAACAGCAACTACTTTCAACTAATTTATGTCTAGACTCAATCTTTAATAACTGCTAGCATCTACTAAGTACTTGCTACACGTCAGATATTGTATAAAGTGTTTTACATATGTTAGTTTTATTTATTTCTGACTTAAGATCCAACTGGGAGGTGGCAACAGGTGGCCTGGTGGTTAAGATGCTGGACTCCCACATGGATGACCTCGGTGCAAGTGCCCGACCTGGTGGCTTGACCTTGGGCATGTGTGTGTTTATGCTCAAAATCTCAGGAGGAGAATGAAGAAAGGATTACAATTGCCATGTGGCTGTCCCCTCTGGTGGGTGATTTCTCACTTTCCCTCTCACTGTCTCTGGCAAGCACATGCACCTTATAATTAAAAAAATCCAATTTTTAGTTACTATAATTATCCCAGTATCAAAAGAGAAGAAATTAACTGCCTGAACAGGTTGAGTAAATTGCAAAATTCATACAGCAAAATTTGAAAGGAATTGGTGGTAACAATTTTAAGGGTCTCTGGCTCCCTGAGCCTATTATAATAATGACTAAGCTAGATAACCATGTCAGAGTATATCATGCCCCTTTACAACTAAGCAATCTATGCAGTCTTCAGCAAATTCATGAGGAAAATGCCTATTAAGAAAAAAATAGAGATTTCACAGAGCTTTTGCATCAAAATAACTTATACTTTAATTCCATTTTTCCACAAACTTTTTGAAATACCCTTTATGAACCACAGAATAAAAAACTGTGTAACACAATATAAAACTGTGCAACATACAGTAGATAATATAAGATCAAGACATCCAAGTAAAATGGTCTCTGAAAATTGCTCACTTGTACGCGTGTGTCTGTGACTAAGCAGAGATGACTCGTTTTGTGTTATTAAATCTGTTGAAACTGAAAGTTCTATACTTTTTAGAGGTGTCTAAAATGGTTTCTTCTTATCTATCACAATAATCTGTAGTGAAACATTGTTTCATTAAAAGTTACTAACTTTTGCAGTATACTGTTACAAGTTTAGCACAGTGATCCTACAACTCCTGTGGAGGGAGTTTAATTCCAGGCCATGGTGCTAAGATTTTATGCTGTGCACATCATGGTAACAGCTTATAGTTACTTGGCAGAAAATTTTAAAATAGCTTTCATGATCCACTAGGCTGGACGACAGTCATGATTCACTGTTATAATGTTTTTAAAAATATTATTAATTGACAAATACAGTGCCTGGAATAAAAGAGAAGTTTGAAATTGACTATCTTTCTCAGGTAATCCCTCTCCTCCTACCTAGAGAAAATGACACGTGCTCACAGACTAAATTATGCAAGTAAAATGACATAGGTAAAATGTTTTCAGAGTTCTACAGGGTGGATATTGTTTTGGGCTTTCGTGGGGGTTTGGAAAGCGACAGAGAATAGTAAAGTCTTTATGAGCGATGTCATAGTCCATACTTACCTTTGAGTACAGAGTACATTTACCTGTGCGATAAGTGGGGTGTACAAAGGCAATTCATATCATACCACAAATAAACTTTGACATTTCTTTAGAACATCCCAGAAATACAGCGAGTATTAAGAAATTCCTTAAACTATCAAAATTAAATTTTTTATTCATTTGAGTTCTTGAATTTAATTAATTCATTAATCAATTTAAAATCCAATGAAGATATTACATTAACAAGAAAGTTCTAAAGTTATTGTAAAAAAAAATAAGTTTTTGCCAAGACTGAGGTTTCAGATTTATGATGTTAACAATTATGACCTTTATATCTCACTAAGAAGCAAATCTCTCTTTCCAGAAAATTTTTGATACTGACTATAGCAAAGAGTATATTTGTGAAATCTAGTTTAGAGAAAAATCTAACCTATTCAAAAAGAAAATAGCATATGCACATCTTTTTAATTAAGGACGATGATAATAAAGTGTGTACCTTGCTTAGTTGTACAAGAAAGAAGCAGGCATCAGTATTTATATTTCCAAAGTTAATTATTGCTCTTACAACTGAATTTTCTTTAGAGAAACTTTATTTCTTCTTTGTTAATAAATACATTTGAATTTGCATAAGAATTATTTAACATATAAGTTTTAAAATATTGCAATATTAAAAACTGATTAGACCATATTAAGGGAATGAAATATCCACTAAAGGATGACATCCTACATCCTTTTATACATGTGTAATCTTGACGACCATATAGGTCACTCGTGAGCGTCATCTTTGCCTTCGCCATAAATTAGTATAAATCCCAGTTGTTACTTTATATTTCATCTAGTGAAGGACAAATGAATTCCCCACCAGTAGGAACTAGAGGTATGAGATGTACCTTTAAGAAGGCCTCACGCTCACACTTAGACAAAACTCTCCATTTATAGCACAATAATGCAGTTCCCTCAATATTCTGAGGAACAAAATCTGTGGAGGAAAAAAAATAACCTCAAATTATTTTAAAACAGAACTGAAAACTTTTCTGAGGGGAAGAAATAAAACAGAGCAAAAGCTAACCCATGGCTCTGTAATAACTAGTATTTCTTTTAGGAGAAAATATAAAATAAGTCCAAATGTACATTACATATTGATTATCATAAGATTTTCAAATTTCTTACCTGGAGTTTCCAGTAGAAACTTGAATTGCACTAATTTGCCATTGGGAACAAGTTGAACTTAAATCCATGCTCCGTAACAGTAATATGATGAGGAATATCATTTTAAGTGGAGAGAGGATTATCTAGATTTGTTTACACTTAGCATTCCTCACCTACCATTATGAAATAGATTAATCTTTTGTTAAAGGTGTATCCTTATATTGGTTCCCCATTTGTATTGAATTTGCTATCATATCTCTGAAGCCCCTCTCCTACCACCCTCAACGAACTATGTCCAATAATTAATAATCTTCAAGTTATTGAAAGTTGAGAAGCATCAGGCTCATGGCACAGTGGGAACATGATGATTAAGTGATACTGGATCCATATGGACGACCTCAGGTTCAATTCTTCAGTGTGCACATGTCCAGTGCAATCACCCATGATCCTGGCTGGCTGGGAGGACTAGAGGAAGGAGGCATTGTGATGTTGACACTGGAATGGGCAGGGATGCTGGCAAGGCAGAGGACCAGAAGTCATGTCCATGTCTTTCAACACTCAACAAAAGCGAACCTTGAGAGACCAGATTTGATGAATAAGGAGAGGAATTAATATGGTGAAGCCAACACCTAGGAGAAAGCAGAATATAATTAATAATTGTCTCCACTGTACTGGGTGAAATACAGAACTTACAAAGGGAAAGGAGTTAGTGTGAAGTACATCTAAAAGCAAAAGGCAGGTTATTCATTGCCTTGAGACAGGATTACTAGGAGACTTGATAGCACCAGGAGGCAATCACTGCTTGAAGGGCAGTCTTCATTCCAGTCATGCGGATGAAATGACTGGTTTCAGTTCTATAAGGGGCTTGAAGACAAGCCATGATTAACGAGGCAGCAAAAGCAAAATGGAGTCAGTTGAGACAATGCTTGGACTTTTGCTTCAGAGGGAGTGAAGCACTAGGTGTGACTTTGCAATGCTGAACTGATAAAATTTCAGCCACTCATGACAGAGAAGGTTGTGGAAGTCCTCCTCCCCGCACTGTCCCCCCCCCCCACCATGCTTATCCACATATTTTGGTATCTCTAAAGATTCAACAAGGTTACTTATTAGGCTTGATATATTATGAGAGAGGTAAAAGGTTAGGTTCTATAAGACTCACTGTGAAGTGGAAGAAGTTAAAGACTGATTTTCCTATTGTTTAATCTACTGAAAGGACTCCAAAGCTAAGTAAATTATAGTCACTTTAGTTCTCCATGACTTGGTTATAGTATAAGACCCTGTTGAGGTTATTTATCTTTTTCTCTCTGTCTCTTACTCTTTTAAAGAAACATTTTTTTTAAAAAAAAGTTAAGTATGCAAAATTAATATTCTTCAAGTTTATACAAAATAAATTTATTATTTTATTATTAGTTATAAAAATATATTTTAAACATTTCATATTCTTTATTTAGTGGGAGCTTATAATTATAAGAGTGGATGGGGACCAGCAGGTAGCATGGTGGTTAAGGTGCTGGATACTCCCACATGGCTGAGCATGGTTTGAGTCCCAGACCTGGTGACTTGCTTTTTCACTTTTTCTCTTTCTCACCTTCTTGTCAAATTAAAAAAGAAAAAAAAAGAATGAATGAAATGAATGAATAAAAAAATTAAATAAATAATTTTAAAAGAGTGCATTATTTTATTGATTTTTGTCATTAATTC